CCAAATCACCTTATACTCGATCAAATAGGCCAGATGTAGTGTATATATACCACTTTTTAGGGATTTGCCGGTGAGTTTTCTTGACTGGTTAACTTTAATTTTGTTGTGACGATGTTACCCCGCTCTGATGATGCACGTCACATGACAGACGAGAGCTTAGCATCTTTTCACCGGAATCGAACGAGATTGCCTCGGAAACAGCGTCAGCACGAATGTTCCAGTAAAGCCGATCGACAGCTGGTCAAAAGGAATTCGCCGTCGTCTTCTGGTGGAACCGACCTTCGAATCTCTGCACGCAACACTTCTACTCGAAATGGAAGTAAGCCGAACAATTATGAAACAAGAGACTCCTCGAAACCCAACTTTTCTTCGTATATATTACGGAGAAGGACTGTCGGGTTGTGACAAGCAGTCGGCGGCTCACCTCCCCGCGACTCGGACGCACCCGCGCCAAGCTTTCGTGTGCCCTTCCTTGACAGACATGCACTTCACGAAACAGTGCATCAACATCCTGAGCCAAGAGACAAGAGATTACAATTCACCTCTTCTCTTGGTCAAACCATTTCGTAAAGTGCGTTCTCCTGCTCTGATAATGCGTCACACGACAGACGAAAGCTGAGCCCCGGTTCATCGGAGTGGTGGGACGCCGCCCCACCATCCACCGGCTTTCACTCCACGCCAAGACGACCATCCTTCGATTTCCGCTGCGACCAACCCATGAACTCATTTCAACCAACTGTTGCTAGCGCATGCAAAGTCAAATGTCAACAAAATTGCCTTAATCTAGTCTGGGAGCGCCAAAGCATCAACATCGGGATCCTCATTCAAAAGTAGCCGACGTCAAATAAAATCGGCCCTGACGTCAGGATTTGACGATTCTTGGCGAAATGACGACGACGACGACGACAACGATGATGATGATGACGATGTAAAGGACGAATAGAACAGCGAGTGCCAGCGCTACTGGCGAAACACTCATCCCTCTCTCTCTCTCTCTGTCTGTCCCTCGGTGTCTCTCCAGCTCGACGATTCGGCTGGTCAGGCGTCGGCTGCCGGAGCGAACGGCAAACCCTCCAACGGAACAATCGCTGGAGCCAGCGGGACGCCGAGCTCCGGCCTTCAGCGGTGAAGACGCCTTAGGCTTGCTGTGAGACTCGGATGGCGAGAGTTGCGTTTACGCCTAAATTTTGTCTTTTGTGTGTGTGTCTGTGTGTCTGTGTGCGTTCGTGTATGCACAGTGTATGCGCACACGTGTAGGCAGTCATTCCGACCGCCGAGCGGTTTAAACACATCTCACTACACTTTTCTCACAAGCCAGAAAAAAATGGCAATAGTCGTGTGCATTTCATTATTAGTTCCCTTTGCCTGCCAGCACACAATGTCTGTGTCTTTGGCCCACTGTATGTCTCTCTGTCAGTCCCAGAAATGCGTTGAGCTGAGAGCCTCCATTTTTACTCCTTTCCTGAGCTAAGCGGGCCACCAGCTCTCAGCTCTGATGTTCGTTCAGGCTTCACATCGATCCATTTGTCAGTCCGGCCTGATCAAGATGATGTGAGAATAATCGATATAGACAATCTCAGGCCCCACCTGATTGGTCAGATGACCTGTCAGGTCAGTCCTATCTTTCCTCTGGGCCCACAAGCAACTGGCTTGC